TTAACGAGAGAAATGAATTTTTGTCTTTTTTCTCCCATGTTTTCGTTTTTTGATCAAACTAACGCATCTGACGCGGCAACGGCCAAATATTTCGGATTCTTTACGTTTTTGGCGTTAAACTATTTTTAGGTGCAGTTTAAATTAGCTTACAGAAAGAATTTACCTACTTATTTTTATACAATGGGCCTCGGTACACATAAAATGTGGCGGAAAATTATAGATCGTAAAGTGGTGTGTCTTTGGCAAACAAAAACATAATATAGCGACATTAACTTGAGGGTAATTTATTAAAGTAGGTACTCAAATCTCAATTTGTGGATGCCAAAACAAGAATGAAAAGAATTTTAATTGAGTGTGAAGTCTTATTTTAATTGTCTGAATTGGTTTCTATGGAGTACTCTACACAGTGGGAAAAGCGCAATTTAACTTTTAAGACAAGACAAATACCTCTCGCATTTTTTGCGATTTTGCCAATGCTCTACATTGAATTTAATAAATTCAATGGCTCTACTGAAGTTCCAATCAATGAACTTATGTCCTGCAGTGAACTTCTATTTAGGCGTTTTGTAATCACCTGATGTCTAGGGCAACACATATATCGGAAAATGCTATAGGACGTTCGGTAATTCACCCCGGCCCAGCAGACAGTCACAGTATCTGTAGAAAGTCTTCACGAGACTCCATTTCCCTTTCGGGTGGAGAACTTTTTGATCGTTATGATAATCTAAATGGCACCTCCCTTTGGCAGCAGTATCTATATCAGCGCTTATGGAGATTTACTTTAACGCATTTATTTATTCTCAATTGATGCACTAACTGTCGACTGTTCGGGTGCCTTTTGTAAATCGATCCAGATGTCGACAACGGAATATCGTAGAATTTTCGGGTTTTTCTGCGTTATATTGCACTATCGTGTTTATTCCTGCATCATTCTACTCTGAAGTATGGTCAGTTTCAAGTAATTGAGTGGGTACTCTGAATAGATATTTGCAGTAAATTTACATAATTAGTTTGTTGAATCCCACCATGTCATCGCCGTCAAACCGCATTTTTCAATTTGAAGGGTCGAGAGGACTTTTCTGATTGGAATTTGTTGTACAGGCATATTTGAGCACGAAAGCAACATAGTAACTGAGGTAGCTCCAATTTACGTCGACTCAGTATCCATCAATTCCGACGAAGTTGAAGCGCGAAAAGAAGCGAGGAAAAACAAAACTGAGGTTAATAATGCTTTGTGATCGATCAGTTTTTTGTTCACATTCGAGCTGCGAAAACATCGACCGAGTTATGGAAAAATTTGTCTAGTACGTAGAATATTAGTAGTTCCATGCAGGGGATCGCTCTGTATCGGCAATTTAATTCGATTCGCTTATGGATTTTGAATCGACCTAAGGGAGAACGTACGGAAGATTATGGACACGGCACACAAGATGAGCGCCGTCGACTGGGCGATTTTTGGTTTGGAAGTAGGGTAGCGTTAATGCATGGCTTGTCAAAACGCTATGATCCGATGATAATGACCGGGCTGCTCCAGCCCCCCCCCCCCCTCCCCCGATTAGGATTTCTGGTTATGCCAGTGGATTATGCAACGTAAAAGTTCATTTGTGTTCAGTTGCCAACTATAGATATGGGGCAAGTCACGATTGCAGTATCGACGTGGGGATCATTGCAAAAGTTAGCGTAATTGATTTTGATTAAAGCGAAAGAGAGTTCTACGGTACCTCTAAGATACAAATTGTACTTCCTCCGAATACGCGACAAATAATATTTACAGTGTCTTCTCATTTGTTCAGTCTGTAACAGTTAAGTACCTACGTAAAACCTATTTAGTTAACGGTTACTGTAATTTTTGTTTGGGATTCACGTAGGTACATAACATCTACATTGCGCATCATATTCCGTACGTGGTAGATGGTCATTGATCCTTTTCATTTCGGCCGTGGTTGGGCTTATGAGATTGTCACTTCCTTTTTCTGGTGGCACTTGTTGATCAGCACGTTTAAGAGCATTTTCGTGTATCGCAGAAATTTTCATGAAGATGTAATTGCAATAGTTTGAAGTATTGTTTGTGGCGATTCACCAGTTTTTGCGTGATCTCGACTTAGTTTGTTGTCTCTCACGTGGAGACTATAATTGGGATTCATAGGGATTGCGCATATGTAAGTGGCTGCCACAGTGACGTCGGAAGTGAATAACGGTTGGGGGGGGGGGGCAAAAATCAGCGACCATGGAGTCTCAAAGGGCCCTCTCATGCAAAAGTGTGTACGAATTAATGCAAAGCAGTGGGTTTTTTATGTGACGCTGAAACCTGTTTATTTAATCAATCAAATAATGTTTTTTTGAAAGAAAAGTGTTGAAAAAAATTTAAAAATGTGTCGGAGGATGTCTAGTTATATGCAACTGAGCAACTCAGAGGTACTTGACTCGATTGAGAAAACCATAGCCATAGATCATTATTTTATTTAAAAAATAATGAAGAACTACAAAAGTTACAAAAATTTTGTTTCTATTTATTACACTATGGAGCATTGTAAAGAAAAGCTAGTATAAAAAATTAAATATATTCAAAAATTTTCCGCCTTTCCGCAGTTTTGCTGCAGTAGAAGACGTGTTAGTCGCTTTTGAGTGATTTATCTACTCACTCTTAGAGGGGGTGCGGTCCCCCTTGTGTAAAAACTGAGGGGGCGACTCGCCCCCTCTGACCCATACTTCCGGCGTCGCTGGGCTGCCATTTTCTTAACCATTTCGTCGTGCGTTACCATTCGAAGTTGAAGCAACTTGTCCATCATGGCCGTATCAGTATTTTCTAATAACACTCTTAATAAGTAGAGGTATGTTAATGTTTCTGATCGAAGGGTTGCATGCGCCTTCTTTGGGGGTTTTCGAGTACGTTTTAATTACATACTTTACATCCACGTTAATTGCGCGTTGTCAACACCAGTTTCTCATTAAGACACCCGATGTACCAGACAAAGGCCATTTCGTTGTGGAATCTACGTGAGTGCAAGGTCTTCATTTAACCGGCCTAATCTGCAGTCTACGCTTGAGGCGTAGATAGGGAATTAAAATAAGTTCGTGATTAATTGTTATTATTATTGTTATTTCAAAGACAATTCTCTTAAAAATGTATTTGTTCATAATTCTTATTATTTTTCGTCTACGATTTGCTTAATAAAAGAAAAATTTGGACGGATGTATGTGTGCTTTGGTTAAAAGCAGTTGTAATTTTATTGTGTTCATTGTGTATATTTCTGTTTTGTCTTTCGTTTATGACATCCATATACAGTAGGTAATTATATGATGTGTTAGCTTATTTGCCAAATTACCGGCATTCTACAGATGCATTAAAGTATTGTCATTTATAGCGCATTACAAATACAAATAATTGCTCTTTTACAATTATTTATTTATTTATTGTCCCTCTCTTGTTCCAGGCCCTCAACAGGCTTTATTACAGAGTGACCGGCATAATAATTTTTAGAGGTGCCTCTGCAGGTCTTAAGTTGTTCTATACCACTCCGATATTTACCTTACGAATTAGGAAAACTGCAGGAAAACTTAATTCGGAGTAGGTAGCCGGCAGAAAGCTCGAAACTGATCTAAGGAAATTCCCATCTCTGCCACAGATGAAAAATTCACCTTAACCCAGGTTCGAACACCCGACCTCTTGGCTATGTAGCCCAATGTTCTACCACTGAGCCACACAGACGAATAATAACGGATGCTGATCATACTCATAATGAAACGCACAAAGATACGGCAAGATTTTTCTACGTAAATATGTTGTTTTCCAGTTTACACCTTTACAATATCGCTATAGTTAGACAAGTCACCCTTTGTTCGTAGCGCAGGTTTTACCTGCCAGTCCCCTGTATGAATTCATGACAACTTTACGTGTTTTGATCTTATTCTCATATGTCTATGTTTATATTTATAGATACAGTATGTTCTCTTAGGGATGATATTCAATGAAATATTTTCGTGGATGGTGCTGTATTTGGAAACATTGTTTAGTTATAATTGAATTTCTTGCAGAATATTTCCTTTCTTTTGCATGAATGCTACTGTTTATTGTTTGTTATATTGTCTGTTATATACTATTATTATTAATGTTAAAAAAGGTAATTTTCCATTTCTTTTGACGAGTGTACCTATGTGTAATTCACACTTTCTCATAATTAAATATTATTATTATTATTATACAAACTTATGTGAATTTAATGTAATGTTTTCATGATTGATTTTTTATGTTATGTGTGTCAAATATTAATTCTTTAGGAATTTTAGTGGAGTCTATAATTCGACTTAATTTACTTGACAACCATCATAACATGCATTCATGCCATTACAAACAACTAATTTTACTATAAAGTTTAACATTAATTTGTTGGCTGGTTTTTTTCCTGGTCAGTTCTTTTTTCCCAACCTATTTGTACTCGCGGTGAACTACCATTTTCTAGATGTATTCTGCGATTGCGATTTATTTTGATTAAATTTCCGTTTTTAAAGTATGTACTTGTTTTATTTGTATTTATTAATGTTACGCATATAATTAACATGGAACATACAAACCCCGTAACTATACTGCCTACGAGTTTGGTATTTGCCCATTTGGTGGACCATACCAGTAGGATAGTAACCATATTCATTCGCAAGCCAAATGTTTAAATATTTATAATTTTGTTAATTGCCCCTCAGAATTAATTAGAGAATAAATTGTCTATAATGGCGCATAAAATAATTTAATGGAATCGACGGTTGTCAGAAATGATTGCAAAACTAATATAAAAAAAATAAATTTTAACGTCGGTGACGAAATTGAGATAACGAATCACTGGACAAACAGGACCCTATTTTCAATGGTGAAAAACGCTAAACCAGAATATTCATAGTAAAAAAAATTTTTTTATTTATTTATTGATAAGGTGTGATATGTAGTGTAGTGTAGAGTGGGATTTTTTCACTTGGACCTATACTCAATACTGTGTCGACGATAATGAACGATAGATACCTCTCTGGTAGCAATTTAAATTGGACCAAAAGTAATAGGGGTCACGAGATACAAAGCGGTGATTGGTACATTCAGTGGTCAGATTATTTATAAAACCGGTTGAGTTAACGAAGGAAGTTGTTAGTTACCGTCTGACTTTCGCCGAGTGAACAAATTAACAAAGCTAAAATAATGGCACCGAAGTTGTATTACAGCGAAGTAAGTGCGCCGGTTCGTTCCGTATTGTTGACCGCCAAAGCAATTGGATTAGAATTGGATATGCACCCTGTCAATCTTATGACAGGGGAACATTTGTCACCCGAGTTTCTGAAGGTAAAAGTGTAGAGCAAAATGACCTTAGCCTTGAAAGTTGTTGCTTTCCAGATGAATCCACAACATACCGTCCCGACCCTGAACGATAACGGATATTGCCTTTGGGATAGTCACGCCATCAATATTTATCTTGCAAGCAAGTACGCAAAGGACGATTCGTTCTATCCCAAGGATCTGCAAAAGAAAGGCACAGTCGATCAGCGATTGTTTTTCAATGCTTCAATGGTGCAAACTAGGATGGGGGCAATTGTGGTAACGTTTCATCTCCGTTGATAGGTATAGACGAAAGTAACTCGATTCTCTGTACAGAGACCAATAATTCGCCAAGGCGCAACTTCGATTCCCCAAGACAAATGCGACGATGTTCGCGATACCTACGATTTTCTGGAATCATTTTTGGAAGGCCACGACTACGTTGCTGGCGACTCGCTCACAATTGCCGATTTTGCGATTGTTTCAGGAGTCTCTTCCATCGCACCTTTCGTACCGATCGCGCAAAATAAAAACCCTCGCCTTTCCGCTTGGTTTAACAGAATGCAGCAGCTTCCATACTATGTGGAAGCCAATCAAATTGGATGCGATAAACTTGTTGGTTTTATCCAAAGCAAACTTGCCTAAATATATCTTAAGTTAATATTAGTACAGATCGTTATTTAAATATATACCTATACCATTTGTCAGCGTAAATAAGCTATTAAGTATTTGGGTTGTCATTGATAAGATCAGTAAATATACCTACAGAACTTTTGCAGGTTTATTTTTACTTGCAATGTTTTACACATAGTACATTGAACTTGAAACTAGATAGTCTAACAAAACCACTTTCTAGGCCTCCAGGAGAATAGCTCCACCTGGCTACGGGATTGTACATACAGTATATACAATACTGTGATACCGGCATTGAGAAATGTATTTGACCTAGATGCCTAACGAGCGTCTTTTTCAGTTTTCTTCCATTTCAGTGCGTCTTTAACATTGTGTCACTGTACTGCACTGCACGGACAAAACAACGACTCGGTAAGAAGAACAACACGGATTTTAGCGCAGTTCGAAGTGGGCTTCACGCCATAGCAATACCGAAATGTTTTCAAATTCAGTATTCAGCAGCGCAAATCTTTTTAAAGACCCCATTGGTAGGGTAGGTATCATTTTTGTGGGGAATGGAGTAAAAATAATTGATATAGGCATAGGACAGGGTTTTGCGAAAATAGTTACCGAAAGAACGCTATTATACAGACTGACAATTTAACAAGTAGGAGAGTACTCAATGCGTCGATATACTTTTCTCTGTTCTATCGGTGCTTTAAGGGCGGGGAATTCCCCAATGAGAATACATAGAAAACCAGGAACGTATAGCACGTTTAGCGGGGCGTACAAGGAAGCAATAAGTGCGGCTATAGAGGAGAGAAGGAAAACAGGAACCATACCACAGAATGTGGAGTACGATGGCCATACTTACTACATACATATTGTTGTGTTAATTTAGGTGGTTTGGTCCATGTTCAATTTTTGTTTATAGCCGCATTATAATTTGTTTATTTTGTTTATTTAATTGTAAAGGAATTACGTTTTATAAGATAAGGAACATCTCAAAATTATTTGCGTAATATTTAAAAATGTATCTCATGGTTTTTTCCGGTCGTAGATAAGAGTTGCGCTTATCGCTAAAACTTAAATCAATTTTGTAAACCGATGTTGTCGCAGATTTAGATAAGCGAATTTTGTTTATTTTTAACTAACTAAAGAAGTGGAATCGAAATTGGAACAAGAGAGGGAAATGCGTTAAAGAGAAGAAAATTAGTGAATTAAGTGAAATCAGAGATTTTAAGTACGGCGTGTGAAATTGTCTAGTCGAGTTCGAGTTAAGGAGAAGTTGTTTGTGAGAAAAGTTTAAGTGTTATAAAATAAAGAAGTGGAGTTTCTGAGGCGAATTCAGTTTAGTGTTTGTGTTTTTTTTGTACGTGTCTGTTTAATGAAAGTCGCAGAAGACTGATATTTGGACTGGATATTTGGATTATTGACATTATAAGATAATTAAGACGGTGGAGCCGACGTAAATTAATTATTCGTTACTCAATTAATTAGTTTCCATACCCTCACGTGGACTAGAGAGGGTTTTTCCGTGAGTGTCTTCGTTGAAAACTACCCGTCTCAACTCGAGGGTACGTTAACAACTACAAGGGGGTTCTCAATTGGACGTTTTATTTACTAAAAGTGTTGATTCAAGTTTAATCAATAATTTTGAATATCGTGGGGTATTTTTGTATTTTCGGAAGATAAGCCTTCGAAATATCCGCCCCCCGTAACATTCGCTCAAAAAAGTTCTAGTCCGGAAGCACATTTGCCACAAAAAATTCGCTCTTATAAACACTCCAGGAAATTCGCCTCTAAAGATAACGCCAGTAAAAAAAAGTCGCCTGATAGCATATTCCATACCCAGAGACTAAAGTTTGTGTTTCAATCCCGAGGTGCATGCTATCTCGGGCAACGAGCACCCGAGACTCGGATGCATTTTAATTGTGTGGTATACACACTATTTTTTACTCATGTATAATCAATATCAAACTGTCAATGTTAAAATGCGAATTTGGGCACAATAGACCCAACAATCCGCTTAAACGAGCTATGGTGTAACTATTACTGCCAAAATCAAAACCAATATATACGTAAAACAGTCATTAGACTTAAAACACGTGAATAAAGAAAGAAAGAGAGAAAGAAAGAAAGGAAGAGAGAGAGAGAGAGAGAGAGACGAGCCTCTCTCTCTCTCTCTCTCTCTTCCTTTCTTTCTTTCTCTTTGGTCTACGCATCCGCACGAATTTTAGATATTGAGAGACACCTCTAAAAAGCGTTATGAGGGCCCAGAACAAGAGGGATAATAAATTAAAAAAAATAAAAAATAAAATAAATAAAAAATAAATCAATCAAAAATAAAAAAAATATTGTAACCAATAGTCGAGAAATCGAGGCGCCATGACAAATTAATCGGTGATAAGAAAGTAAAACGGACGTGCCGCCTTCTTTCCGGGAAATATGACGTGTTCGTTCTAGAAGCGTTTGAGAGTACTCCGAGAATGTGTATTGTTATAAATAAATTACTAATTAAATTTACGTTACAATAATTTTTTGAGTATGAATGTGAATAAATTAAAACAATTCCCATAAAAGTTTCATGCATTGAGGAATTAATAAAGATGTCAAAAATCACGATATGCACTATGTAAATGGGCATCAGAAACAAAATCACAAGTAGATCACAATAAAAACCCCAGAAAGAAAGCAGTATATGACAACCTGAGAAGATCGTAAACATTATTAAGCGGTAGGGCAAAGGGATGCTATTAAGCTTTTTAAGGCAGTCACTGGTGTCTGTTTGTCCGTCCGTTCGTCTGTCTGTCAATCTGTCTCTGATCACGATAATTGGCAAACACTTGGACCGCTTTTCTAGATCCGCTTAGAGGTTTTACGGTTAAACAGGGTGGTACTACAGCTGTAGGTACGAATTATTGTGTAATTGCTGTGTTGAATAAAAGTAAAAATATCCAATATTGTAATGGTTATTATTGGAAGCGTGTAGCGGTGTAACGTTCCTTGATCCATTTAACCAAGTGCTCGGAGCCTATGTGGTTGGCATCATCATAGTATGGCAGCTTTTTCATTTCGAGTAACCATTCGCAAAGTCGTGGATGATTTGTTTCCGAAACTGGCGCAATGCGCGACATGGATGACACTGGCGCGACAATGCAGAAATCGGCAATTGTAATCGAATCACCTGCAACAAACCGGCGAGTTTTCAAAAAATCCTCTAGCAAACTGTACACCGAAATTAAGTCCTCGATCTTCATTTGTATGGTGCTTTGTTTATCTTGTAACGTGATTGATTTCTGCAATTTTAAATTTTAAGCGCTGCGTAATTGATTGGTTGATTATGTGCATACTACGACCGCGCTCGTTTTTGTTTGGATAATTGATGCGTAAAAAATAGCATTTGGTCGACGATAACCTTTTTACGTGGATCTTTCGGGTAGAGCGCATCATTTTTGGCATATTTGTCGACAAGGTAAATGCTAATTGCCGCACTATCGCCTAAGCATCAAAAGCCATCATCGTCTAATGTCGGAATTGTGTGTTGAGGGTTCATCTAAGAAATGATCAGAGTCATCGGTGATGAAAGAGGAAATACTTACTGCCTTAAATTCGGATGTCAAGTGTTCCCCGCAAACAATATTAATTGGCACTAATTCCAATTCCAACCCTATTGCTTGGGCTGTTAGTAATACAGCTCTTGAGGTTGGGCTCATTTCGGAATAATATAGCCTTAGAGTCATCTTCTTTTTGTGTTACAAAAATATGTAATCACTCAGTTAAGATTCATTTGAATACTGATAAAAACATGTACCTAGTCATTACTACATAGATGATAACCCATGGCCCTATTTATTTATTGAGTTGGTTATATTTTTTTGCGTTATAGATTCTTTGGGACAAATTTATTGTCACATGACATGACAATGAAGTTTTAGAACTAAGTAAATCACTAAGCTTATGTCTTCTATTTAAAATAATTGATCGGCTTGTAATGATCTGACGGATCCCGGAAGCGAAGACTGCAATCTTGACTTACCCTATACTTACAGTTGGGTACAGTTGCGATATGTGAAGGTCCCCAAGCAAAGCTTCCAAGGGAACCAGAGGCAGGTCATGGTGCACACTTTTGTACGTTTGAATTCCATAAAACAGAAAGTGGCGAAATTACTATACGGCATAGAACATTTCTAAAATTATACATCATTATGAGACAGGGTAATGGCACCCCCGCCAATTTAGGTCGGCGGATAATTGGTACTTATACGGGTTTCCTAGATTGCGGTGTCACTAGCTATGAGAGGCCTAAAACCCAGGGTGGGCCCTCCCACATTATTTATCTGTTTGTGGTGTAATGTGCTGCCTATCGTATGCACCACCACAAGGTTATTTTATAACTTGAATCTTGTAAATTGAACACTATATTAAATTGGATGTTGTTATGAGAACTTATACATATGTTGCACAATATTGTACTTACTTATTTCTACAAGTGAAGTTTTACTTTTAATTTAATTTTGAAAGAGAAATAAAAGAGCATTCTGGTAGTTTGACAAGCAGTAAATATTGTATATACAACAGAAAGCAATAGAAGCTGTAATTTATACTTACGTGCGGAATAGGGCCTTGTGTTGTGATCCTTACTGTAGATGTACCGTGGCAAATATACAGGTGCATTAGACACAGTTGTCGCATCTGTGTGCAGGTAGACACTAGACACAACCAAACACCTGTTAAATGTCAGATCAATCTAACCTCAATGATAGCAAATATAACTAATTTTTATGATTTATTTTAAATAATTTGTAAGGCCGTAGCCTTAACATGAACAAAAATTTACAATCACCTACAAAATTAACGGAATTTGCTCCATTACAATCGGAAGAAAAGCAACAAAGTGTCGGTCAGTTTATATCGAAGCTTTTTAAACTAAACAAAACTTCGCCCACAACTGACAATGCATCCATCAACACGGAGAAAGCGCTTGACAATACCTCACAAGAATCGTTACCGACATGGGCAATCGAATCGACGCAAGAAAACTGTGAAGCACGTAACGATTATTACTACCAGGTGGACGTGAACGAAGGGAGGAGCTTGCCTAATGTTCTTAAACGTATTAGCAATTTACTAGCATTGAAGAGTACAGTAAGTAGACCATTT